GTTGGAAAGATTTGAGTAATCGTGATCGTGTACTGACAAACGTATGTTATCAACATTAGCTGTGATGGCTGAGACATGTGGTTACACATGTCACCGGATTCGCTCCCCCAGCATGCAGTTTTTGCCGTAGAAAGTAGTAATTTCACAAAAGACTAGAAAAGCCAGGCTGCACAAAGACCAAACTATGTATGACACGATATGAGGGTATGAAAAACCCTGAACAAGGGATTGTGCCATAGAGGTGGAATTGGGCTTTCTGGTTGAAATATTAGGATCAGTCAATATCTCTAGCTTGGTTTTTTTCACAACTGTTTACTCCTTCGTCGTCGGTCGTTCAAATGGGCAACCAAAACACAGCTACCAAAACAGTGCACGCTCAAAATGGGAACAAAAATGCAAAAGTTATTTTGAGTTAAAAATTCAAACTAATTGCATTTATTTTTGTACATTTTCTAATCCAGTTATTCGTATTCACGGGTTAATGAAGTACTGTATGTTTAAAACTGAATTGTTCGAATTTAAGTTCGGGCGATTTGTTCACCAGAACAATCGCTTCGGATAGCAAAGGACCCGAGTTTTCAGCTTAAAAATCTAGCGTCAATAAACAGTGAATCTTTTTCATTTTCATTTTACTTCCTTTTAGTGAATAAACAAATATACACCTTTCAGGAAAAGGGAAAGCGGCCAATCAAAGGGCTGCTATTCAACACATGATAGGGCAAGTCAGTGGGTGGTGATGACGTCACCACCGGACCACCACCGCCACGAATTGGGGTACAGCAAACCGATGAACAGCATTTACGTAAAGATAATCCAACTGAGTAACCGCATTCATTGTTTGACACTAATCGTAAAGTAAACGTGACCTTATACTATCACTCTTTACGATGTTCTACCCTACTGACCCTCATCAGAACAAAGAAGTTGTGTATTTCAATTCTCCAAAAGACGTGTTAGAAATTTTGTCCGATTTAGAGGAGGCCAATCTGCGTCTGATACAGCACTGTCAAGAGACACAGGAAAACATAGATGTGATGAAAAATGTTACATGCCTGACGAAAGAGAAACTGTAAGTGATTTCAGCTCTTTTCTATGCCGGATTGATTGTTGTTTTACAGGAAAAATAGCCCACTTTATACTAAAAACGTTAAGGGAGGTGTCCTCAATGTCTATGAGATTCAATTGATCAACTAATGAAGAAACAGTATACGGTAGCAAACAAGTGTGAGGAAAAACTGCCAAAACGGTTAGAGCAAAATAAGAAACACAAATCTGCGCAGATAAAGTGAGTAGATCCGAAAATGTCTTTACTACTGATTTTCAGTAGGAGTGCTCAATATCATTTACTGGTGATCAGGTTGAAAAACCGAGCACGACCTGGAGGGCTAATATAATCTACACGATCGAAATCATCGATCGGTCTCTCCATTTATATACAACCATCGCGGATCAGTAAAGTACCATGAGATATTTCACAAATGAACCAACAAGTAAAAAAAACTAAAATAATGTTGTCGGTTGTGGAGATCATGTGATGAACTTGACCTACTACATAACGCTCATCACGGAGCGACACGTTACAGTTTTCGGATAACTGTAATGAATCAAGCTTCACGGGTGACGTCAGCAATGTGCGCACGTGTCACAGCTTATGGACTACTAACCATAGACCGATCGCATCAACCAATCAGAAAGCGTGCGGTCCATACAGAAGCCGAACAACGGTAGAAATACTGGAACGCAATTGCAGAGGCTCGGATGATCAATGAGCTTGTTTTTGTACATACTATTTAATCACCCTAATTTCTTTCAATAAACGAATTACTCTTCTCCTGCGGCCTATTCCTCGCGTCTCGGTTACGTGAGATATTTCGTGCAAGTACTAGTGTAGTCCGTGAATTGTATTTCGTGTCCAGTGCATACTAAAAATAGTACAACTAATACAGGACACCTTTTGATAGTTTACTAAAACTGAACAAAACCAATGCAAATCGGGAGCATTTTTGAACTTCAAACTACCGGCCAACAAAGACTTCAAGGTCAAAGCGGCATATCCGGTGGAATGAGTAATGCAGTCCTTAGACATCATAATTCATTACAATCAGACCCCCCCCCCCAAGTAGGTCATACAAAACAGCAAAATCATCAACAACAGATACGTTGAAAAGCTGTTGATGAGCACAAAACAAGAACACTTCATTGTTCTCTTTTCTTATTTCATCACACCATGTTTTGCTATTTCATTGTGATTTGGTTGGCACTATTTCTATGTTCATATAATGATGTATACAATCCGGATCGTTTAAACTGGGTCCTGTAAACAATAGCTTTGTCAATGCAGCGTAAGAGAATTGCCTACCTGAAAATTTGAAGTAGTGATTGTTCATTTGGGAAATTCATCTGGCAGGATGTTTGATCTGCGATTCATCCACGTCTGACCGGCACAGTTCTCAATCTCGGGTGTGCAATTTGATTGGCTGATTCCCTCCAAGTGTTAAAGAGTGCAGTAATACGGCCATACCATAGAGCCTCCATATTTATCGATGTAAGAACTTGATGAATGTAAGCCAATCGATATTTCGGTTGGGTAAGTGAAACAAGTTTATCAGTTTGCTATCTTGTCCAGTAGAGTAGAGAGAGAGACAGAATACAACACTCCACTTGCGAGCACCAGATGAAAGCCTCTTACACATTTAGCGGACAGTTTTTTGGCCATTTGGAAGCCAAACAAATAGAGCATAGACGATTAAGCGATAATCTAACCGCAGCTTTCGAGCCAAAATGTGAACGAAGCATACAGATTAGTCCAGGGATGTAAAAAGCGTACACTGGGAAGTGAGGACCAAAACGCACGTGTGGATGACGCATGCGGGCTGCAGTTGTTCCTCTCGTTTAGATTACGTAACTCCCTGCGTTTGTCACGAATACGTTCTCGTAGTCCGACTAACTGGATTTGTAGTGATGATATCAACTATCTATCCATAGTTATTTATCGGAATTTACCTCCCCCTCCACGAGAACATCTGCGACCCGCTCAACATTCACGTCCAATCTTTGGAAAAATTGAACAAATATGAAAGAAAACATGTTGCTAGAGAAAATTCGTTTGTATGCCCGAACCAGTTACAAATGTATGCCACCCAGACAGAAATGATGACAGACAATATAATAAGCAAATACGGTGAAACTAAAAGGTGATTCACTGAGCCGGAAACAGTGTCGAGTAGAATTTTCAGCTGCGGTTCATTTGCTACGCGTAATCACACCTTTCAGGCTGGTTCACATACCCTACCCACTCGTTTGTGTGTCTGGTGGGGAAAGTCGACCGTTCTGTTTTGACCCTTTGCTGCTCGTGAAAAACAAGTCCCAGTGGTCTGTCATTGCAAGATCGACTTGACCGACGATGACAAAACACATGATATGGATGATTGCGCCAGATCAAGTGAACCGTCTTATTCCGACAGAACGAAAACCAGATCGCTTTAGTTGTGAAAAAATGCACAGAGAATTTTCTTCGGACCGAATCGCTGCAGAGTAGGACTAATTAGATCAGGAAACAATAAGAAGACAAGTTGGGGAATTCCCCGATCATACCGTTTTTGATGATGAGCCAAGAGGTTGATGGCATCCTTTTGCATTTACAATAGTATTTATTCAATTTGACCTACGAAAATAACCAAGATTTCCCAGTTCGAATCACATTTGTTTCTCTTCTCGTCATTCTAGTTTGATTAGTTTAAGTTGATTGCAAATTTATGAATGAAACAGGTGATTTGTGCCTATGGACAGGTCATAGGTAATGACCATCCCAAAAAGCTACTGATTCCGTAAAAATCAGAAATAGCAATTGCACGACTATTGCCCTTCGTCAAAGGATTAAACTGATATTGTGTGCTATAGTAAATCCGTATTCTGTGCTCCGAACACTTTGCTTGTCAATCACGCACTGATACCATGAGGGTTATTTTATTCCTGTGTACGTTCCATACCGATATTTGAAACATCATCATCATCTTCCCTCAAACCAGCTATACCCGTAACCCACAAATTCATCGATTACTAATCTCAGCGCTTGTCTACGTATTTGTGGATCAGTCACAAATCGATTAAACCTCCCGAAATAACTATGGCACAATAATGGCTGTATATAGATCAAAATTTTGTATTTCTGTCCCCATTGTCTATATTGTTGTACCTAATTATCGATCATCAGCTACGTGGTGTCAACCAGAGCGAGTAAATATTTTGATTGCCAACCAGTCCTGAACTGCAACAGGCACAAGAAACGCGATCCAGCGTGTTTTCTTTCTCCCTCTCTATCTATCGCTCTGCTTCTGGCTCTCAATGGAAAATGAGAGGAAATGCTTTCAGTCAATTTTATAGAGGATATGTTTCTTTTACTCAATGCAGGCTATTTATAGACAATTTATGGGTAGGTTTGTTTTGCCCCATTTTGAGCTATTCCATTAAATAAGAAGACTGATAAACCGGAAACAGGAATAAGACAGGTTGATGAAAACCAAGAAGCGTGAAGAATAATCAAATTAAGCCAAATTTTATTTCTGTCTTACAATACGGTAACAGATAGAGTTGTTTGGTAAAGGTAGTATTTATCTTATCTACTACATTTTCTATGTGCATATGCATGTGTGGGTCAGAGATATGGCGCGCATTCTTTCAGTTTGAATGAACTAATTCAACCAATTGTCTGTCTCTGCGATTTCGTATTTCAAGGTCACCTAATATCTTTTGCATTTTGACTTCAGCGAGTTGGATCGTTCGCAATTGGTCAAATTCCACCAATCTCTGAAAGAAGATATCCATCGTCAAGCGGAACAGACCAATCAGTTGTCCGTGAATGTGAGGTAATTCAGGGCGTCAGATCCATTTTGTTATATATGTAGAAAATAAACCATTCATTTGATGTGTGCTTTTGTCTTCGTGTGTAAATCACTTCAAAGCCTGGGATGTTCTGAGCATGCCAGAAAAAAAGCACGCTAGATCAAGTTTCAACATGATTGGTGACACAACTGAATGAAATGTCAAAGTAGCGGACCATATCTAGAATAGCAATTGTTTTTTTTTCTGTTACACGAAATCACATCATGACTATTACAGAACTCAAGACACAGATGCGATACCAATCGATCCATACTGTG